TCATTATTTTAATTAGTAGTATTATCATCATTATAATTATTATTATTCTTTCTGTTATCATTACTACTACTAAGGGGGCGGCGATCCGGGGGGACGGAGGACACGTCCCTTCCCCTCAAATTGTTTAGGGGGGGGGGGATCCCCCGGAAAATCTGATAAAATACTACTGTTTTTGTCATTGTTATTATTATTATTATCATCATTATTATACTATCATTAATATTATCATTATCAGTAAAAAGGTTATTTCACATGAAACATCATTCCACTTGTATAGAATTATAAATCAGTTCTGCGGTGACCGAAGCATTATATTTTTAAAAGAATGTCATCGATAAACAGGGTTAAAAGAACTATTCTCTCAAAAATCCATGATGAGTTTTGTATGGTTTGAGGCCATGCCATGCGTCATGCGTCGTAACAGCTTAACAGTACCGCCTTGTTCAAGATCACGCAATTAAATTAAAGATTCTCATGATCATGAATTCAGCACAACTTGCACACATCTATACAATTCCAACCACAAACCTAGGTTCTCACATTCCTGACTACAATCATGAATTTTTTAGAGAAAAACTATTGTGGAGGGGGGGGGGGGGGTTACATGTATATTATATCATCCCTCCTGTAGCAACGCCATGTATATTCATGCGACAGGCATGTTTACCAAAATATACAATATTTGTTTTTATGTTTAAAAATTTAAAAATACCATATTGTAAAATAGGAGGGAGGAGTAGAGACATCACATAAATCATCATCATGTGGCTTCCATGACTTGTCGCGATTGCATACTCCAGATGGTTTTACAAAAATGATGATGAATGGCAATTTGGTCAGCATTTTAATACATTTCTGATTCTAGAATTTATAAGTATGCGTATTCGCTGCTGTTATACTTGGAGAGGTAGACCTTGGCCGATATGCAACGCCAGTATCGAAGATGACACATGGACACGCGTCAACGACCACCGTTACGACGACGAGAGTGATCAGGAGATGGTGAATATGGCGTTTTAGGAATCGGCTTATACAGAGTCGGGATGTATGTTGAATAAAACTTTATCAAGGGCTTCCCGTCTTGCAATATTATTGTGAGAGTGACTTTGGTTGAAGAATGATATAGGTTATCTTTTAAAACAAATACAAAGGAGTTGAAAGGAAGGTGTGATGGTTATGATGATCATTTAGCCAAATCGCACGTATGCCGCACATATGCATTAAGTCAGGTGGAAATGTAGGATTATCGTTATCCGAAAATATCCGAACCCCCCCCCCCCTTTAAAGAAAAAAAAACAAGAAAAATAGTTGCCCCTATTAAGCGATAAGGGAACTTGTAGATGTTTTTGGCACATCTAAGATCCCAATCAATTTGCAAGAGGAAGATGTGCTGTAAAAATAGCCATTCAGTCAACACACTTCAAGACGAGTCAATATTATAGGTTTTAACGTATCAGTGCTTAACCATGGAGAAAATAGGCGAAACATAACACAATGTCAAGTCAATACTGTCAGCCCTGCTGTTCCTAGAATTTCTTTATTAAACTCGCGTCTTATTTCCAAAGATACATGTATAGCGGGATTGTATTCCGAATTAAATGTCACTTTGTCGGATAGCTATTATCATGAGTATTTACATGTAAGTCATGGGAAAAGCAAAGAAAATGATTATAAAGTAATCAGACCAATAAGGACTAACGTTATGTTCATACCAGTGGAGTTTACATGGGCAATTATAGCTGTCAAAGCAGGCGCGTACACAGGATTTTTACAAGGTGGGGGGGGGGGGGGGGGGGGGGGGGGGTTAACATTTACAAATCGGGCCGAAAATTTCGCAACGACTCAGCCAGCCGATGAATAAGCGGGGGGGGGGGGGGGTAAGAGAAAAAAAAAAGGGAAAAAATCCCCCAAAAGGGGGGGGGGGGGTGTTTTAGGGGTATTTTTTTTTTTTTTTTTTTTTTTGGGGGGGGGGGGGTTTACACACAAAAAAAAACCAAAGGGGAGAGGGGTTTAACCCCCCCCCCCCCCCTGTGTACGCGCCTGTGTCAAAGATTCGATGCCATATCGGTCAGGCTAACAAGTAGCATTCGCGGTCTGGTAATTATGAATACAAGGTCTGATTATTTTAGAGACAAACGGTGATTGTTAGAAGAAGAAAAAAGAACTCATAGAAATACACCTAGTCCAAATAAATCCGAGAAGTATACTTGGTATAAGATGTGAATCACTATTCTTTGGTGAAAGCAAGTCTGATAAAATATAATACGGTTGTAGTATTGTGTTCAATGACACTGCTGCAATCTAAGCAACTACCAGAAACAAACCTAACGCTACGTCAATAAATAGCCCAAACTCGTATAAAGAAATATTGTAAACTGCCTCAAGAATTGTCATCTTGATACAGAAATTCAACGAAGGCAAAGGAGAGCACCAAAGAAAAGAAACAATGGGATAACGCTTAATAATAATAGTCACATTTGTATAGCGCTTAATATTCCGATTCTAAGCACTTTTCATTGTAATTATTATTACCCCCGGCCGTTGGATTGATTGTAGTTTCCAAAAATAGTGTCAAGGTTGGCAGCTAAAGTGTAATACCCGAAAAGAAAAGAAAAAGGGGAAGCATTCAGTGCAGTTAATGCAGTTCAAAAAGGTCATTCCAATGACTTATCAAATCGGATAAAGTTCTAAAACCAAGATATGCATGCTATGATGTATGTGCGTTCAGTTGAATTGTAATCATTCATTCATCAATATTCTGTACACTTGATTTGGTATGTGGGGAAAGGATTAGTCTCCTCATGCAGACATAACTGTTGGAGGAATATAGTCGATGGTTAACATAGTGTTGAATTGAAGAAACCAAATCTAAATTTCAGTCTATAAATTGACACAAACATATGGAGAGTTTACAAAAGGTTACCAAGATTCTTCGATAGATAACAAAAACAAAGTTAAGTCAGTTAAGGATAGGCAAATTTTGGGTGAACACCTACTGGACATGCAATTAAATATGTCGACAAATAAAGGGGAAAAAAGCTAAGATTCAGTGTTTGAATAACTTTGTAGTATTCATTTGCATCATTAATTATTCACTTTGCGTCATTCATGTTCTTAAATGCACCTGGGTTCATAAAGCCTTTTTTCAATTACAAGTGACAAAAATCAGTGACAAATCTGCTGATAACCAATCAGAAGAATGGATTTCACTAGCTTAAAACAAAAAATGTCATTTGACACTGATGATAAGTTTTGTAAAATGGGGCCCTGGCTATGTGTATGGGGGGGGGGGGGGGGTCTTTCTTGACAAATGAAATTCGAATTTAAAAGACTTTTGAATAGAGGGGGAAAAACTATCGTTTTCTTTTTTTCTCTCTTCTGTTTTCCGCCACCCGTTCAAAGAGGGTACACCCCTATGTACCCTGTAGCTACCTCATCGCACTCGATGATAACATGGCAAAGCTGAAATATTCTCCATTGCGCTAAATACCCACTTCCTCTTTGTGAAAAACTACCAGGGTTTCTACTATTACAAGAAGCATTTTTTGTCATTTTATTCTTCTCTCCACGCCTTTGTAGACTGTTGGTACAAATGAATTGAATTGGAAATCCCGCTACGCTCGGGATAATCCTAGACTACTGTAATATGATGTTATTGAAAAGCCTTAAAGGTAAAGACCAGTTATGGTCATGCGATTGCATTGTGAAAGAAACGTTGTGGAATCGATCAGAAAAGGTTGATCATCTAGCATCTAGCATCTGCAAGGTTCTGGAATCATCAAAATGATAAGAAATTTGGCCCATTCTTCGTAAAGTTACAAGCACTATACACAGAAAGATGTATATGGGACTACCCTATATCTCTCACAGACCATGAGAGAAACAAATTTACCAAATATATGAATTAGTAGGCGGTTTCCGGAAATTTTTTATCATCATGTATTAGTCAAAACATATTCTTTCACATGATTGGTAATGAGAGCTTCCATTTCATTTTTTGAAATTGGGGCATTTCCAATACTTTACCTTTAAAAGGGAGCGATTCCGTATCAGAAAATGACATTTTGAAAAACCTTCCCTGCCTTTTAGTTATAGTAATTCATAGAATTTCGTTTGGAATGTCATTTTACCAACATTTCAAAACTACAAATCAAAATGATTAATATAAGTTTCATTTGGAGCAATCGTAGATTTCCACCAGAGTGTCATTATAATCAGTGACAGGTATGTCCACAAGGATTTGTACCGCATAAACCCTTAAAAAATGTCTATGACATAGTAATGTGGCATTTAACTTCTTCTGACGTATACATCCAGGGATACTTATCCCCCGCGATCGCTTACTCAATCAAATCTCACAAGTGTTTTGCAAGACTTCCTCCTACTCTTTCCAGGCAAGTTTGTAACACTTACTGGCACAATGTCAATGAGTCTCTTTAAGTGTCCTAACATAAACACGGATGTCAAAAGAAGGAATGTTTTACGCGATTCGACACACTTACCATGCACAATAACGCTGTATTGACTATTCAAAGTCCAATGGATTAACAGATGAAAACATAATGTATTATTAACCACAATGTGGTCTTGAAACGTGTCATTATTTTATTAACTATCTTATCAGGTATTGAACGTTCAGCTAAATCCGATCGATAGGCTTCCATTTCAAGTTCATAACCGTTAATATCCATATAGCTGTGGCATTATGGTTTCCATTGTTGAACAGAATGTATACACTTTACTTAATTACATATCTGATAATTAATTTTGTGTTAAGGATTATATTTCCAGTTGACAGAGGGATTTACCGTGAATAACCCAACGTTTTTTGTTAAAGTGCTGTCAGAAATCTTTGTTATGGGTTCTTATTCCATACGAATTTGTCAGTATGATTTATGATTCGTCAGAATCTAGTAATATGCTTATAATCATATATGACGCATAATTAATTTTGTTGGAGGCACTGATGTTATTTGGAGAAATGTTTGAAAACAACATACCTTGAAGACATCAGCGTAGAATCCTTCTCCGATCTTCTCCGCATCGAAATCGTCCCACATCGCTAACAGGCCCACAGCCGCTCGCAGGGCATAGCAGCTACTTCCCGGCCTTGGCTCGGGGGAGCGTCGGGGAGACAGAGAAGGCGTCGCCGTGGAAGGATCGATGTCAGGAGTGGGATCCAAAGACATAATCATGGGCGCCACAGGGTCCTTGCCCGACATAGTGGTCCGGGCGCTACCGGCCTCTAACCCGAGACCAATGGGACGCATGCTGTAAGGTGCGGGGCTACTCCTTGGGAAAAGCAGAGAAGATTTCCGTCATCTGAGTTAATTGCAGCTAGCCGCTCGAGTTTTTCAGAATTTTCCACTAATTAGCTCCTTGGTTTCACAAGTCATTCCACAATGAGCTACAAAACGAAGGAAAGAAATGGAGAAGTATAATTATAAACGTTGATTTCCGCTACTGAAACATGTAAACAAAGATGATTATCATATCAGATATTCCACATGCCGTAGCATGTTACACAGTAAACTTTGATCCCCTTGATAAGCTGTTTAAGTTGCTATCATTTGCCCTACATAGAGCTAGAATTCAAAGTCCATTCATCAAAACAAAGCGATATAATAACGCAAAAGCGATTATATCAGGGAGGTGCCTCCTTGATTATTTGTATCCAATTCTTCAGACACCCGCTCCGCTCAGGCATTTGGTGCAATACTGATTATTAAACCGTGGTGGTTGTGAAAGGAAAGAACGTAAAGACGGTTGTATCAGAGCACGCGTGCGCGGATTATTGTTGGCTCTCGTCTGACCTCGAGAAGGGGTCAAAGTCTTCAGTCAAAGTGATTCATTTTTTTCCAAGGTTTCCTCTTCCGAAGGTTTGTAAACTAAGAGATTTAAATGATTCCGAGAGTGAACAGACTTCGTGATTTCAATAATTGGCGGTTTCAGGCTTTCCCTGCATCTGGCATACCTTAATAATTATAATACTAGTGAAGAAAAATAACTGTGTTTGTCTGCTCACACCACCCCCTACACTTTGGCCCAAAATGCAAATGAAAAGAAGACATTTTTGTTATGGTCAGACATGTTTCAGATTTGTTACACTGCAAGATAATTCTTTATCCTTTATAAAAATATAAAAAATAAAAACTTTCTTCACAGCTCGGAGAACACCGACGCAAATAAATTTCTTTTAAATCAGTAAAATGCTGCAAAACCAAAATAGTAGTGTGATATATTAATTGCTTTGTTGACAATAACATTTTGCTTTTGTTGAGCTTACGACATGTACGGCATGAAAAAAAGAGTGTTGCATATCCTGTTTTTCTTGACACTTCCCATTAGTGACCACCCTCACTGTTGCCATGGAAACTTAGTATTTTCCTAATTATCATGAGTATATGCGAGCTGCTTTATACTATGCAGGTAGTCATTGACGTATCGTGGGTTGCTGTTATATACAGAAACCAGGGAAATGCCTGACAAATAATTTGCTAGCAGAGCAGCAGATTATAATTATGCAGTTGAATACAATGGAAAATAATAACCTTTATAATGGAATATGATGAATTTAATGCTCTTTTCATCTAAAGTAATCTGAAGGTGGTTTGTGATTTTAGTTTCATTGTCCGATAAATAAGGTTATTATCTCGTCATTTTGATACAAGTAGATTTCATTAGATCATGAGACATTGTAGGACACTTTTTTAATATGAAATTTGAAACGCATTTGTAAAACCATCAAATGGTAGGCCTATTGAAATGTACACATTCATTGACCAATTTTATGAAACAATATTATTGTGTGGAAATTATGGAACATTAGCAAAACGTAGCTATATATATTATTATATATGTTATTACTCTTGCAATTTGTATTTACATGACATTTTGATACACGATATCTAAACAGGAGCAGTAGCAGGAGGGGAGGGGAGGAGCAGGAGTAGCAGGAGGGGAGAGGAGGAGCAGGAGTAGTAGGAAGAGGAGGAGTAATAGGAGTAGTAGTAGTAGTAGTAGTAGCAGCATCATTATTAGCTTCGTTGAGATTGTCAAACACACAACGCTTCATTATAACAATGCGCAACAGGGCAATTAACCCCCTGGACAATCACCCCCGGAAAATTACCCCGAGGACAATTAACCCCATGGACAATTACCCCCTCCCCTGAAAATTCCCCCTATTACAATTAGCCCCCCCCCTCATGACAACTAAGAAAAACCAACCCTGAGGACAATTACCCCCCCCCCCTTTCTTTAAACAGGAAGTCGATCCTGATAATAAGTTGGTTTTAATAAAAGAGGATTTTTTTTCTTCTTCCGGAGGTTAATTGTCCTAAAGGGTAATTTCCGGGGGGTAATTGTCCTCGGGGGTGGTCGTCCTCTGGGGGTAATTTAACGGGGAGTAATTGTCCTTGGGTGGTAATTGACCCGTTGGTAATTAGCCGGGGGGGGGGTAATTGTTCAGGGGGTTATCGTCCTAGAACCATATAGCAATTCATCTCTCTCCAAGATGCATTTAACATGTCTTTGCTGTCATCCTTCCCCTTCTCGCACGCTGCATCATCCATGTATTACCATGTTTCTCGAACAGAATTCAAGCGACAAAAACAAGCTCAACCAAGGACTTTGATGAATGATGTTATAAAAGGGTACTGAGTCTTCGTGTACGTCAACTGGATATCACGCGGATCAAATGAGAGCGCGGATGATACTTTGTTGTCATGGTAACAGATTTCATGCTCCTTGGTAGATAAGAAGGGGAAGGAGTCTGTAGATTGTGAGTCACGTGTGTGAGGGTGATGACATAGGCGTAACCAGGGCACTTAAGGCTATTAAGAGAAGGGGGAGGGGGGAGGGGGGGGGGGACAGAGGACCTGACCTGTTTCTCTCATGTTTCTGCTTCTATTAAACTCAACTTGCTATCAGAGTTGATTTCTCCTTTAAAGGACAACAGTGGTTGTTATATGCCCTGAAATGAAAAAGGGGTACGCCCCCTTTAGGTTTACCATACATCTTGAACTTTATCTTTTGCTGATTTTAAACATCCCCCCCCCCCCGTTTATGTAATCCTGGATCCACCTTTGCAGTCCATGACAGGTTTATGAGAATGAATGCCAATAATGCTCCTCCTAGCCAATGTTATCCTAACGCCTATATACAACCATGGACCTACTACGATACAACGTATGCCTATTTGTTATTGTTAAATCGTCAGAATGTCAGTTGTCTGATATGAAGGGAGAGGTTGGAGAGGCCTTACGGTTGAGGAATGATGAGGCGTAATATCAATTAGCAAGCTGAATTAATCAGCATTATACCAAAACAAATCATATATTGAATGTATACTTATATACATTGCTCACTGTCTTGAACGCGAGAGAGTTTTCAGTTGTAATTTTAAGATTTCGATTAGTTTTAAAGGGGGAAGTAAGCAAAATACAACAAAAACCGAGACTACTACTACTACAACTACTATACTACTTCTACTACCTAAACTACTAAGACTACACCAATATTAGTAATAATAATGATACATGAATAAATAAGAATAATCAATAAAATACATAAAGTAATAGATTAAGATTCGGGCCTTATGAATAATAAATCCAGGACCGAAGCTTAATATTGTCCCTTCTTGTTCCAATAATTGGTATTTTGAATACGAATAGAAGTATATATAACATAAGATCCTAAATGCTTTGTCAAACCCCTACTCTGACCAACCCCCAATCATCCCTAACTCTATTACAGTATGTATTGGCGTTTGGTTTGATGATGAGCGACACAGACTTGGATGACTTGTGACTCGATGGATAATGTCACAGAGTAAGCTGTGGGTTTTCATCATCAACTCTAGGGAGATTGGCGTAAATGTCATGCGATATACAATGTGGATGGCAACCTATATGTCTCGCTCTTCAAAGATGCAATAGTTTTTAAGCCAGACTTAATTCCTCATGTTAATGTTCAGTATCGTGTCATAACCTAGTGTCATCATACATATTAATTTGATTTCCTCCTTGTGCTTTGTTTTTGTCAGCTGGTTTTTTAATGAAATGTTATACATTTTAATTATCTTCATGCTATATTTTCCTGGTCTTCTGGGTGCACTAGTTGGTCGGGAAGAGGGACCATTTCGGTTACAGTGACTTAGTTTGCTTTCCTCTTCCCCGGCAGCCAACTGATGCACTCAGAGGACCTCCAGGAATATTAATGTTTATTTACTTATATTTACATTGTTATATTTTTTGTGAAATGCCGAATAAATAAAATAAAAAAATAAATAAATAAATTGGTAGACTTAATCTTATTTTAAGGAAGTAAAATAAGTTACAGTGAGAGTAGGAGATTGAAATGTAAGTTGGTGTCTTATTTTTCTATATGTATTAAAAGACACATGTATTAGGTATTTACACGGTATCATCATGATTTGCGATGAACTTAAGTATGACATTTGTCAATGGAACACCAATTTGAGGTTAACGCCCAATCTCAGTAGCTGTGTAATTGACACCTCAGCTTTGTTAAGAGAGGGGAGATTTTTGAATTGTTAGTACGGTTTCTACATGTATCAGAAACAACAAATCATGTTATATATATGGCAAAATGTTTTAGAGACTTACCTAAACTGGACAATGCCTTTAAGGTGATGCGTAAGGTTTAACGGATGCATTCATATTTAATGCATCTTGATGATCTAAACTTGCCCGGTACTTTAAATAATTCATATTGGGATCCGGATAGGGTATGTATAATTAATAAAAGTGAACTTTGTAGTGATAAAATTCCCTCATTAAAAATGTTCAAAACAATAGTGTAGAAAGCATTTAAAACCTAAAATATAATATTAAAGGCACACTGTCCTACTTGTAGCTACTTGCTCCCTCTATATAGAAAACTTCCCAAATTGGTGCCTGTTGGTCCCCCATGATCCTCTTTTTCTTATGTTAAATGAGAGCTGAGTTAATGAGATAGCCACCTGTCACAGTGACCTCGTTGGCTCGCTGTGTGGTCTAATCCCTTCTAGCTGCAGTAGTAACGCCTACCTTTAAACCGTTCTAATGCATTAGTTTGTAAGTACAATCTAAATTGAGACAAGATATATAATGTTATTAGTCTGTGTAAACAATGGGACTAATGAATATTGATTTGGACTCTTTTGAACTTGATTCTTTAATAAAGGAATGGCATTCTCTACATTGCGAAAGTGGAAAGGAGTGTAATCAAACAGTGCATGACATATCGGAACACGAAACCCATCATTCATTCGCTTAAAGTTGATCTAATCCGAATTTGGCTCAAAAAATGTAATAAGAAACGATGCATAAAGCTGTCGTCATTATGACATCATGATCCGCACCTGATCTTTAACCATGTTTATTGTAAATTAACTGTAGATGTGACTGTAAATTAACAAGCACTTTGTCCACACACCATTCCAGCACTTCATGACACTCCTTGTAGTTATTCGCCTCACCTACCATCCCAGCATAGCTTCCTGAGTGAGCTGCCAAAGGGATACTCAACCAGGTACCAAGACAGTAGTACAATGCTAATCTATACATTCACCAAATTTCAAACACCAATTTAAGAACATATTGATCAATGCTTTGACTGAACACGAAATGGTTTACACGATAGATAGGACAACTCCATTTGAATGCACAATCGAAAATGGTGTTAGAAGTAGGCATGTGAATTATTAAAGTATTCTCTGATCAGACGAACAGTGTTCTTGCTGGATATTAGAAGAGGACCCGTACAGCTAACAATTCGCGCTAACGTACTATATGCAAAGCCTTGTTCACGAATGTAACTTACCAATACAATGCCCATGTAATTATTGTCTCATCTCGGTCAAACCAGGAAACTTCACAAAGTATACTACACAAACGCATGCGTTTTTACTTCCACTGGATTTAGCATATTTTACTGTAAATTAACAAGCACTTTGTCAACACACCTTTCCAGCAATTCATGAGACTCCTTGTAGTTGCTCGCCTTACCTACTACCATCTCAGTATAGCTTTCTGAGTGAGCTGCCAAAGGGATTACCAAACCAAGTACACAATGGGAAAAGCGATGTTAAATTTTGTAATGATTATACTTAGGAGGATAATACCCTGTCATGCTTTGTTGCATTCCTAGCATGTGACGAGCGCTTCCCGGATTCCAAAGAGATTAAAGAAGAGGGAATCACTCACACACGTCTTAAAAAAATAAACATTCTCATTTACTTCATTACAGAAGCAAACCCTGTGATGCGGAAAACCCGATATCACTACAAAGAGAAAATTCTTTATTTGGTATAATGGAACGCCAATCAATAGTCATTCGATGAATAGAGCCTTACCTAAACAACCGAATAGCCTCAGCATTGAGCGAGAGTTTGAGTGACGAGCTACAAAGCCCTTTCATTTATTGTATTGGTCATTACTACTTTCTTTCGTGACACACCAATACACAACGAACGAATGAAAGAAAGAAAGGATTTGTAGTATAGCAGGGAAACGTCGACTTAAAATGAAGAATGCACTTAGAAGCCATGCATGTTAACAGAGAAAAGAAAAAGCATGAATTCTCATCCCTTGCTTTTTTAAGTCGACATAGTATACTAGAGATCCGTTGTGTGTATCACTTCATAACAATGAGCACCTTGTATAGGCTTGTTAAATTCAAGTAAAGCACTCACCATGCCCTTTTCAAGGAACTTGGTGCCCTTATATTCACTAATAAAAGGCTCTTCAAAGAGCAAGACAGGCTACATCATTCAGTGACGTGGAGCATATTGACCTAATTTATTGTGTTCAGTGCAGAATTGATTCTTGCCCAGGGACCATAAATTTGATGCAAATTAATTCTAAATCTGTCGAATAAAGATGAGAAAAAGAGATTAGAAAAAGAGATGAGAAAAAGAGATGGGAGGGGTAGAAAGGAAGTGGGAGAAGGGGGACTCTAATGGAGATGTTGTAATAGAACACATATTGATGATAAAATGATGGGTAATTTTTAGGGTTGAATATAATTATTGAAGTATAAAACGAATAAATAAAGCGAATTAATCATTCTCTTGAAAGTAGTGATGCTTGTTTTTTTTATAACTGGAAAATCAAAACTTACAAACAGATTACCTGGCGCTGCAGCCGAATGTGCAATGCAATACTTCATGTCAGGTTAAAGCTCCGGTTTTCATCAAATTAACACTACATGTAATTCAGAAACAACTATGATATTTCGCACATAACTTAGTATTTCTCTACGACTTTCGACTTACCTCTCATTTCATTAACACAAGAGCATATAATTAGGATTGACTACAGAGCACTTCCTTCACTTGATTGTAATATGACTGCATCTCTCCACTCTTCGAGGGTTATATTGATTCACCGTGTCTGGGATTATTTACCCGGACCCATTCAGCAAAGAACGTGAACGACGAAAGCACTTCCCATCAGCAGCAGATAGCAACTAAAGACAGGCGTCAAGCTAGCGCACGAGAGTGAAAGTGATTTCAGCGTTAAATTCGTCGAGAATGCACCCCTAAAGCACGTTGTGAACCGAGGATGATAAAGCATGGATGAAGCAACAGGGTAGATTAAAAAGGCAACCTAGTCCCATCGTTCAAAAGAGGGTTTCCCAAACGCGTAGAAAGTCGAATTGCCGGATGGTTTTCAAATAAAGGAGCTGTGATGACAGAGCTGACGAATCGGGAGCGATGTGTGTTCAAGACAGGATTTCCGATACACGATGAAAGGCGCCAAATACGGCACTGCAAATATCGTCTGCAAGTGCAAGAGTACAAGTCGTCCGCCAGTTTTTTGTTCTTTATGTCTCCTCAACTGAACATAGGGGATATACCCGGTCAGCCGACGATCCATTCCCGAGCTTCTCTCGCGAACATATCCAGTCTTTCGTGACAAATTAATAGCCATGTTGGTATATCACCTACCCAAGGCTATCTGCATCACAAATATAGCGATCGTGTTCGTATGATGAAGCTCGCGGTCGCATCTTCCCGTCTCATCATATAAAAACAAGAGAATTGGCGCGCGTGTGGGCGCATACTATACGGCGTGTAATAGTTGCGTTCAGTTGGGGTTCAGATATGCTGCGCTGCGGACGAAATGAAATCCGAGGTTGGGTGGGATGTGGGAAGGGGGGGGGGGGGGGGTGAAAAAAAAAACGTCGGGTGGGTGAGCTGATGTTGCGCTGTCAGTCGTGTACGACCTCGCTACGACAAGTGTTTTCGATGTTGACACTCGATTTTGGCGCCTTATCGGCCCCTTATTATTGCAGACTGCAGTAGCATAGTAAGATATTCCGTTCGTTTATATTAACAGAAGCATCGCAAATCCACTTTGAAAGTCAGGGAGGTGGCCTAGGGGGTGTGTGTGTGGGGGGGGGGGGGGACTCCCAAGCCCCTTAGTACGCCAAGGAGTACAAGAACAGCGAAATTTAATTTATGTCTTTAAATTATTTTAAATACTTACAGTATATTACTTTTTAAGAAAACTATATGTGAAGCGTGAAAATGTGACATAAAATAAACCGAAGTAATAAATAATAGTGAGAAAGATGCATATAATACATTTATATACAAAACAGGTCTACTACACGACCGCAAAGATCCCCGAAAAACAAACGAAAGACACATTCCATAGCCGTGTGCGCCACCCATTGTAATGTGCTAATATGACAATTGCACGCTATCTAATCCAAATATGATTTTTACAAGGCAGTTCTGCACTGTACAAGGTGTTGAATTAAAGTTGATTTTCGAAAGTCCTTGCGATCGTATTAGAATAAGAGATATTATATATATATTATATAGAAGAATACAACGTCAGAAGTTTTCATTAAGACTGAGATGGTATTGAGTAATTTAAGTATTTACGAATACCTTATTTAAAAATCTAATGTAATTAGACATGCATGGGCAGGGTCATTCGTACCAAAATCGTAAAACACATCGAGACGAATACTGGATAATAACTGGCTCATGAAAGTAATGTAACCATTATTCATTTATTCACCTACGGCACATTCTCGGATGCACATAAGATGCATATAATACATTTATATACAAAACAGGTCTACTATACACGACCGCAAAGATCCCCGAAAAACAAACGAAAGACACATTCCATAGCCGTGTGCGTCACCCATTGTAATGTGCTAATATGACAATTGCACGATATCTAATCCAAATATGATTTTTACAAGGCAGTTCTGCACTGTACAAGGTGTTGAATTAAAGTTGATTTCCGAAAGTCCTTGCGATCGTATTAGAATAAGAGATATTATATATATATTATATAGAAGAATACAACGTCAGAAGTTTTTATTAAGACGGAGATGCTATTGAGTAATTTAAGTATTTACGAATACCTTATTGAAAATCTAATGTAATTAGCCATGCATGGGCAGGGTCATTCGTACCAAAATCGTAAAACACATCGAGACGAATACTAGATAATAACTGGCTCATGAAAGTAATGTATTATTCATTTATTCACCGACGGCACATTCTCGGATGCATTATGGAAGTATTCTTCTCAAGAGGGCAAACAAAAGGTATTCGTGAAGCACCTCCAGGCTCCATCACTTGATCATCCTAACATGCACAAAGCCGGACGTCTCCATGACGTTAATCATGGACCTACTACAAATGGACACTGATTGGAACCATAATACATTCATGCACTTGACTCTGTCAAAAGTATAATAATGACATTCCAAACATGCTTCCAAGCTAGCTTTGATCTCATCACGACCGCCGCCAGTCAGCCATAAAAAAAAAAACGGTGCCTTGAAGAATCAACAAAATGCCTGCGCAAAAGAAACTGAATCGCTTAAAATCACGGAAATGCATGTGCAGTTTTGGCGTACATTATGAATATTGACGTATATGAAGTTTTCAATAGGAAATAAGAAGCAGTTTACAAGAGATACCTGTAAATTCGGCTGTAATTCAATGATTTTAAACTTCATTTAAAAACTTATCCTATCCATTTCCAAGAAATAGAAGGTAATAGGACAGTAAAGTATAGGTATTTTTCAAAGTTTGGCAAGTCCAAATGTATGTCCACCAGTGTCCACTTCTTTAATGATTTTCAATTTTCAATTTCAATTTATTTGCTCTTAAAAATCCAGAAAACACATGCAAACATTCATAAATCAACATGATACAAAGGGTAAAATTCACAAGAAAAATTAATAACAAAGTATACATTTGGATTAAGTATGAGAGGGACAGCAAGAAAGGAACAAGCCTTGTGATTAGCTGACCCTGTAACATAATACATTTAAATAAGGACGCTACAAAAAATAACAAATCACTTACAACAACATAAAAAAAAAGGGGGGGGGGGGGTATGCCTATACATTTAAACAAACAAACTTGGTGGATACCTGTCTAAAATAAAGTGCCTAGATTTTGACTTAAAAACATTTAACGAAACTGCTTGTTTAATATCTGAAGAAAGAGAGTTCCAGATTTGGGGTCCTTGAAATAATATTGAGTTTTTAAAAGATGGGTTTGGGTAAATGAAAATCATTAGCATTTCTTGTATTGTATCCATGATATTCATTATTGAACTGAAAGAATGTTTTAATATCGTCTGGCAAGAGGTGATTGTTACATAAGTACATAAATATAAGTACCTGAAATACATACATATCATGAAATTTTAAAACACCTGATTCAATAAATAAAGGGTTGGTATGGGCAAGGTAAGGTGCATGAGACATATTTCGTATCGCACGTTTTTGTAAAATAAACAATCTATCAATGTGATTATTACTTGCATAATTATTATTATTACTTACCATAATTAAGGTACGGATATACAATTGCATAATAAATCATTTTTAAAATCTCCTTTGGAAATGATCTTAAACAATACATTATTCCTATATTTTTTGCCAGCTTATTGCACAGACTATCAATGTGATTTTTCCATGTAAGTTTATGATCTATTGTAATGCCTAAAAATTTTACTGACGTTACACACTTAATATCTGTATTGCACATTCTAATTGAAAGATAATCTGGTATCAATAAATTACTAAAAATAATATAAATGGTTTTTGCTACATTGATTATCATTTTATTTGCGTAAAACCACTCAGATATTAATTCAAGTTCAGAATTGAATAGATTATGTAAGTCCTGACAGTTAGGATGGGATAAAAACAGACTGGTGTCGTCAGCAAACATAATACAATGTAATAATTTAGATACTTTACTAAGGTCATTTATAAATAAAAGAAACAACAGTGCTCCTAAGATAGAACCCTGTGGTACCCCACATGAGATAGTTCCTTGCTGTGATTTGCATTTAGAAATTTCAACATATTGTTTTCTATTTGATAAATAACTTTCAAATAATTTAAGTACAATACCTCTCATGCCATATAATTCAAGTTTGTGTAATAAAATAGCGTGATCTACTGTATCAAAAGCCTTCTTCAAATCTAAAAACATTGCAATCATATATTTCTTGTTATCAAGAGCATTAACAACAGTGTGAACAAAATCAATAAGAGCCGATGACGTCGAATGTCCAGGACGGAAACCATATTGGTTCAAAGATAATATATTGTACTTGCTTATAAAATCAAATAATCTATTCTACATACATTTAATTTTAGAGAAAATTGGCAAGACTGATAATGTAATTTGCAACATTTTCACTTGAACCATTTTTATATACAGGAACCACACGAGCAATCTTTAATTCATCAGGAAATATACCTAAATCTAAGCATTGATTAAATATTGCACAGATGGGTTGACATAAAATATGTATAGATTTCTTTATAACCTTGATACTTATATCATCGTACCCAGGACTGCAATCTCTCTTTATATTAGACACAATATCAATGATCTGGGAACATGTGATTGGTTTAAAATAACACGTACTAGAATTCCTATCCAAATAACGACAAGGATTCAAATTTAAATTATTGCCCTGATCAACAGGGTATTTCAATTCAATCTAATGATCAATCTAATATCATACACATTTTCCTTATTTGGGGTTCACTGATCCTCTAACTGGTCTTAAATCACGATACTTTTCCTGAAACTACACTCTTGGCCCTGGCCCAGCGAAAATAATCTGAAGAAATGTAAAAGTACTTTGGTCTGTGACGATGCGTGATTACATAATCAACATTGTCGCGTCAAATGAATGTCCTCATCAACATACACATTATTAGGTGGTGGTGGTCATGATGTGATCAAAGAAAGAGTCTCATTATTAGTCCATGGTTTAATTTATTTCTACTTTTAAAACAATTTACAAATCAATAACATATACATAGCCCTATGAATAGTAGTGCCGGGATCATGAAAAGCACTAAATTGGCTTATTGAAAATGACCCCTTAACAAGTATATACATAACATATTACACATTATAAGAAAATAGAATATGTGCATACATTATGTGGGAGTCATTTGTAGCAAAGCTAACTACGAACTGGTCTATTTTTAAAATTGTATAGCAGTGCCGCAAAGAACGAAGGCACATGCATGTATCTATTCCTACTTACCTAGTATACTCGCTCGATAAAAAGCGAAGGTTCGCGACATTCAGAAATTGATCATTATAAGCTCCGATTCTAAAACAAACACAGTTCACAGCAGCCGAACTTCAGTCTGCAAATCATACGATCCAAAGCAGTATTGGAGAATGTTGCTTGATATCGCTTCTAAATCTCCTGCTTTTCTTATTCCGAATGTTACACAAAGAATTGTTTTCTTAACATCACTGACATAGCGTAATCGGAGAGTATTGGGTTATTACAGCTGTTCTACGTGACGACACGACACGAAGCGCAGTTTTTTTCTCCATCAGAGATACCACTTTATTCTACGCGTGGGTGGTTGTCATGGAAACCAAGATGTCTGAAGCGGGATCACCGTGTGGTGATACATGCAGTCAGACCGCAGTCCGTACCATTTGTATGCAATGTGACCCCCGCGAGACCTTGTCACCACATATGGGCAATTTCGGGGCGTCGCGTTGCTATGGAAGCTCGGAGAGCATGTACCTCTCGAGCTTATAGAAACCAAGTTCTAAAAAACCACATGGAACCCAACCGTAAGAGTGTCGTGCCAGGAGAGGGCAATTTTCCTGCTCCCACATCGAATTCTTAAGAAGGGAGAAAGAGAGGTAGAGGAGGGGTGGGATAGAAAGAATGTGAACAAAACAGCGTAAGAAAAATAAAGATAAAGTTGCGCAATATGAAATATTTATGGAGGCCCCTTACACACGTAAATTTTAAACAAACAAACAGATGAACAAACAAATAAACAAACAAACAATCAATCAACAGACAAAACGAACAAATGCGAGACACACACTGTATACGCTTCCGTCCTCTGAATTCTCTCCCTTTTATTTGCCCCCCCCCCCACCCCCCATCACTCACCATCAAAACTTTCCTCCATTATATTATCCATTGTTAGTTATAGTTGCAGTTACATCGTGTGTATTGTAGGAATATGGATGTGTCGGGATATAGTTGTGTATTCACTTGAATCTCAATTCTAGGGTTGAGGGTTCGAATCCCAGCCCGGTACTAACGCCCGTTGGCAGGACTGTAATCCACATTTGCCACTACCCAAAGCTCCCTTCTAGAACCGCTGCTGGTATGTATATAGACCTATAATATATGTATATGTGTGGCGATAGGCAGGGTCGTAGCCAGAGTTTGATCTTTTTTTTTTTTGGGGGGGGGGGGGGGGGCACATACATGTTATTGATCGACGTCCTGGGGAGGGGTCTAAAATGTTCAACTGATCTTGGAAAATTTGGGGGGCACGTGCCCCCCGTGGCTACGATCCTGGCGATAGACAATAGGCCATTTAAGTAATTCAACCAACTTGTACTTGAGTACCTCGACACGAATTATTTCATTCACTTGTTACGAATAACTGTATTTTAATAGTCAGAATACAAATATCATATATAACCTGTCGTTAGGGAGGAAAAGTCTTAATGTTTGCCCTACCTATCAACAACTAGTATATGCAATTTGATTTTAGACTATTGAGATTAGTTTGTATCGAGACACTTCAATCTCCATCGGTGATTCGATTATTTTCGCCAGGCGGTGTGAGAGGGCGTTAATTCGATTTCGGTGTAAGCACTGAACATCTCAAATGTTATTCGTTTGTCTGCTCAAACCACGTGATGTCTTTCAACTGACCATTCAAAGAAACCGCGGAAGATTAACGCGCGCGCTGATCGAATTTTAGGTTTCGTGCAAGAAGAGAAGCAAGAGATCTGTCAGTCTCTGATAAATGATTTACTAATTGTATGAGACAAAAGAATATACAAAATAATACAAAATATGCTTTTTCATATACCCTTTGTGTTGTAATACAGAATATAAGGCTGAAAGATAAATCAACATTCTGAAATGGTTACTAGCGTCAATGTTTATTTTTTCAATGAAATGAACTTCTACAGCATGCTTTGATAGAATTACTCTGTGAGATTGCTTTTGTGACAAAATCAATTATTTGGAGTGATTTTGAGACTGAATCTCACATTGGTCACATGGCGCCACATATTATGATACATTGCAACAGGAAAGTAGATTACCACGAATTGTTATTTTTTTTCAATTCGTTTTCCTCCATAAGTTCTGCAAAGCATATCGAGCAATAGTTTAATCCTTAACATAATTTAGATCCTTCATCAAACCATGACTCAATGACCCCCCCCCCCACAAGTGGCAATAATAAGGATGAACATTAAATTGAAATCCGTTACGTTCTCTTCCAAAGTATACCCCTGCCCAACCTCCGTCTCTCTCCCTCCCTCCCTCTCCTCTCCTTCACTTTTTCACCTTACTCATCTATATCTTCCTGTCAACAATAATTATTCAATCACCATTTCCTTTTTTTTAAATTAAAAAGCTATCACTCTGTCTACACCCACAACGCTCTTTCTCTCCACTCCCTCTTGCCCTAACCTCTCTATGTCTGTCTGTCTGTCTGTCTGTCTGTCTGTCTCTCTCTCTCTCTCTCTATTTTCTCTCTCTCTCTCTCTCTCTCTTCCTCTTCTACCGCAATTTGTTTGGGTCTCTCCCTCTGTCTCTAGTCCAATATTCCTCCATCTTCATTAACTATTACCAACAATTTATTCTTTGCATTGTATTACTAAATCTACTTTATCATAACTCTGAATTGTGATGGATTGAAACAACACTTCATGCAATTAAAAACACAACATTGTTTTTGACAATATAGAAGTTATATTCAATCATAGTAACTTGGTTGTGCATAAATACACACAGGCACACACAAACAACATCGTTTGCAATTTTCAATACAAGAAGAATATTTTGATTGAAATCAAAATCATGTTACATGATGTAAAAAGAATGACATGTACATTTCATTAAAAATATGTTCACAGCAATCTGTAAAGTACATGTATTTGAAACTTTAAAGTATGCACTTCACAAGTCAGAAAGCGAAGCTGCATTCCTAGATACAATCAGAATAAAAAATCTGAGATATCTTTGGTATCATGATTGAAGACAATAAAACAAAAATCACAAAAACACATTCTAGGGATAATTTGATCTCATGGTTTAAATTTCTATTTTTAGACACATGGTACTTCAGGTACTAGAACTAAAAATGCCAAGTATCTAGCAAGTCTTTGTATTTGTATTCCACCATCAAAAAGAGCTTGATGTATTCCTCACATTGGCCTTAAAATTTAAAATGTTTATGTAATGTTTACACTGAACAAACAAATTTAAGACAATCAAAGATACATCAGTTCACACTTTTGTGAGATCTGACTGTTCGATAATCATCCTCATTCTATTTACCATCAGACTTGTGGCACTGCAACAATTTGGTATCAAAATGACGAGTGGACACTTGATTGACCAATCCAGTGACCTCCTTACGCTAAGGGGGTGGGGTGGAGGGGAAGGTTGCCTTTTTAAAATACATGACAGCCTCCTGAAATGCTCAACAATAATTGTTAAACTTGTGTCAACTTGGATGCTGATGTCTACTCTTCAGTTCGATATTATTTTGCATTCATTGCTACAAATCTTATGATAAATAAAATGTGGATGATTGTGATAATCAGTTCAACCACAGATGTACCCAAAATTTTGGAGGGCAGTATGTATTTAACTAAATTACTGTTTGAAAAGTCCTCTTTTAGTCATTCTGCTAGAAAAATAGAGCACATCAAAGCATACGGGTTGTGTTCAATTCTAACTGCTATGAATGAAGATTATAAGAGACATTTTAATGAAATCTATAAATTAATGATATGATACTTATGTAAGGTACTTTCACAACATATGGGTTTTATATCTACCATTCATCTAATTTATGAAAATATTGAATTTTATATAGGTCCGTTACGGAATGACATAGAACATCATTTTTTGGTCACTCCATAACAAAGCTTTTTTTAAATTCTTTTATATTTTATAGATTTGAAGAATGATTGATAGGAAATTCAACATTTGTGAACTACCTCATATTAGTATACATTTTATCATTAATTTATAGATATTTAATAAAATGTCTACAAATTTCTTTGTTCAAAATTGGCTGGAAAATTGGAAATGTAATTCTGCAATGCTTGGAATCCTCCATGTCATATGCCTGGCAAAAGCGTGAGAATATAGATTTGTTTGTTTGGTAATGCACAGATAAGAAATAAGATAATATAGAAGTCATTACCTATGCTATAACTGTAAAAGAATTGACAATGCTCTGACTGAAATATGTCTAACATGTTTATGTAGTAAAAAGGCAAAATATTCATTACCCGGTACTAGAAATGTACTTTTCCAAGCAGATCATTTTTATTCCTCTGTGCCCTTTTGCCCGCCACATGACAAATGTTAAAGATGTAACAATCACCAAGATACTGAATACTGATTAGGGACAGAGAAGTATACAAAGAAGTAATTAAAATTGCATAATATAGCTCAATATACATATTGCATCTCATCACCTCCCTCTCTTCAATCAAACTTGCTGCAACATATTCCATCATCTAGAAGTTATGAATCCTCTTCACACATGGAATAAATAACGAGGTGTAGCATTGAAACTCATAGCTGGATAGAATACAGCAATCATCATGACTTTTCTACATAGGCGTTCTGTATTCTAGAGGCGCACTTCTCGGCACAGTTCATGAATTCATGGAGCTGATTCACACATTTGGTGACATCTTGAGGATTGCTTTTCAGACATTCGTCATACTGCTGGTATTCACTGGCACAGTCATGTTGGATCTTCTGAACTGCAGGGCTGTAATGACAAAATCATAAATGTAATAAATACTATTGTTTCAAGCCTGGCTGCACTAATTTGGCCAGGAGAGATTAGACCTCCCTTCATGGTCACTGACAGGTGGTTATCTCATCAAATCAGCTCTCAATTAACATACCCTAAGAAAATGGCGATCATGTTTAACGCTTAGGCATTATTTGCTAGGCAATTTGCAATTTGCCTAGCTAAAAGTAGTGCAGTCCTGCTTTATTGGATTATGTGGATTATTAATCTTGCCATTTCAATAAAAATGAAACTGAGAAGATAGTCTGAATGAATGTAATGAGAAACAATTATCTATAACGAGGTTTTAGAATCATCAACATTATAGCGAATTCATCAATCTTGCTGAAAACCACAAACATTGAAAAAACACTGGACAACAGTGACATGTATGGCATGTTAGGCGTCATCATTTAGTCAAAAGATGTGAACTATTATTTATCCTATTGGGAACATGAGAATGATGAGATCATCATGAAGAATACTTTTTGTCCTACAATGCTAAAAAAAAGAAAGAATGTGCACGTGCAGCAAACAGCACAAATACTAATGCCTCAGTAAGTTTGACCTGAACATACATGCGTACATGCTATTACATGCCCAAGAGTATCAATGTAAATCTTTTATTCAGAGGATTGTCTGTAAAGGCAAAAACTTGTTTATGCATTCTACATGTCTTCTCATTATAAAGTACAATGATAACTCAAAACAGGGAAAAGTATTATAGTTTCATAATTAGGGGAAAGCAAGCATCCATAAATTCCAATGAATTACAGAAATTAATTTCAGAATTGTCCAGTACCTAACAAATCAAAGAGAAGATACTTACTGAGTACTGGAGCATGCTGATGCCGCTTCACCGAGGTCCTTACACTTGTTCTGCCAGTTCTCAGGGTATGAGGCAACACAGTTACCATACTCCTCTAACTCCTTACCGCAGTATTTCAGAACAAGCGACACAACAGCTTCCCTGGATTGAGGAAGACATGATTTAGATATTATATTTTTAAGATTTTGTCAAACTTGATTTTGTCCATCGAGTATTAATTGCATAAATTAAAAGAGTGTGGAAGAAAAGACCTTGCAAGATAACTTACAAACACAATGAAAGTCAATAATTATCTTATTTCACAAGGGAGGCGAGTTGGCTTAGTCGGCCATCGGTAAAGCGTCCGTCTGTCGAACCAAAGATCCCGGGTTCGACTCCCACCCAAGCGGATGACTGAAGCCTGCGTTGTGTGTTAACGTGCCCCTTCCCTTGTTTATAGATTCAGGTTATGTCAAGTGGAAAACACTCCGTCCCTCGGATAGGACGTTAAATGGAGGCACCGTGTAGAGAAGAGTCACTACCTTTGCAAGTTAAGAACCCACTGCACTAGAATCTAGACTATTTGTATAGTCTATAATGAGCATGATGAGTAGGCTAGAGGGAAACCCGGTGTAGATTTTGTCTAGACTAGTACAATAATACTCTGTAAAGAGGTCTGTACTCAAAAAGAAGAGGAAGAAGAAGAAGAAGAAGAAGTAGGGTTCCATTGAAGTACTAGAAGTAATCACATAATATAAACATGTTTATGATGTTCAAGGTTGCCTACATATCAACTAACACGATTCGCTACATGTGGGACTTTGCTTAACACCACTGAAGTGAATGTTGCACTCTAATAATGACATGGATAGCTTTAAATTAAAATCCCATACTTACATTGTATTTTAAAATTCTAAGCTCCTGATATGAAAGATTTCCGGCAGTCTATTTCAACGCATGAGGTAAATCCTTTGGAAATTTCTGATGAAAGACGTTTCCCTTGTTGCGAAACAACATATAAATTGATCTTGAAAAAAGGCTACATCATAACGGTAAGCTGACGATAGATGGCGCTATATCTCAACTGGATCAAATTTTCGACGAGAAATTACATTGTCCTCCATATAATTTAGTATCCCCTTGTCTCTCCGTCTCTCCCACTCCATGTTCTACTCTCTCCTTCTCTATTCCTCTCTCTCTCTTTACTACACAGTGTATCTCGCCCTCTTTCTGTACCTCTCCATAATATTCCACTCTTTATTATACAGTGTATCTAAAATTCCCTCTCCCCATCCTATTCGACTCCCATCTAGCCCTCTCTCTCCTTCTCTATTCCCCTCTCTCTCTGTTTACAATGGATCTAATCTTCCTTCTCCCCCTCCCTGTGACTCCCACCCCCTCTCTGTACCTCTCTCCATATCTTGACCCCTCTTTCACTCTCATTTCAACATCCTTCTACCGCAACAACATCAAATAACACAATCATGAAGCAAAATAGCAGTTATATTTCTTTATTTATCAAGGTGGTTTTAGCAATAAAAGAAAACAGAACGCTGAAGTCTACGACTTGCAGATGATGTTACACACAAAATAGACAACATAACATTCTAAATAATCAAGTATTAGATTAGCAATAAAATACAGCCGCTCATTCTAAACCTGCCTGCCAACATCAATTAGCCACATGATTCATGGGGAGGGGAGAAATTCCAACATTTGGTATAAACCTTTAAATGATTGTCTCTCAATTAAAATAAAGATATCCTTTAAAAAAAAAAATTCTTTCCAGAAGGGTCATTATCCCCACCCCCCTTACAGCCTTCTCCTCTTCCCCTTGCTATAATTTTTAAGCAATTTTGGAGATAGTACTTGTAAAACCACCACCAATAAAAATATCCACAGATCTTTTAAAACATGGAGACGTCCATTTGTGCCTTTTAGAATAATCACTGCCAAAGTGATAGAGGTCCTTCACAAACATCTTTTGTTTGCCCTTATGAAAAGAGTACTCCCCCTGTGTATCATAGGATGTATGGCCAATTCATTCAAGAATAATGATTACATAACTTTCATACAAATTTAGTACTTCACATATCCAGCAGTTGTCTCAATGGGTTTTCCATTTTTATACCAATGACCAATATCTGCCCATGCAGAGATAGTAGTCTCCAAAGTGGCTTCAAGTTATGTGCGCAGCAGAAGGACCCAAACTGATGCAATGCCAGCAGAGGTGTATTATTTTTCAAAAAAGCATTTTAATTTTTTTTGGTTTTGTACTTGACTACATCTCGGTTCATAAATCGTCTAAATTGTTAACAGTTGTATAATCACTTCTCTGTATGTGTCTTTCCTTTACCCTACCATTGCAAAATGGAAAACATTGAAAAGCAAGACCAAAATTGTGTTTGCGTCCTTATGCTAGGCACAGTACGAAACTTATGTCAGTTTGGAAGATTATCATAGTCGAAATGTTTCAGATGCCTTCATATTTGAAATGAGAGATAGCTGTAAAGTTTAGACCTAACTTTCATGCCATATGTGTGTAGTCCCATTTTCTGTGTGTGCTGTAAATTAGGTAAATGTTTTTTTCATTTTCATTATTCCAAAACCACTCAGTGTACTCTAATTCCTCTATACTATTATATAACCAATCTTTCCAGTTTTTTTCACAATGTAATCATGCCAGCAGTATTCGACAAACATTTTAGCATTGTTTGCAAAGTTTGCTGGCCCCTCTAACAGTATAAGGGCACTATTAAGTGAACAGTTTAAAGCACATCGCCAAGTTTTGTGCCAAGTTCAAGACTTCTTTTTATCCCAACATTGATTTCTCATTGAATTATATGACTTAGTTTTAAACAATTACACTTGCCAGCAAGTGTCAAAACCACCAAGTTAATACAAAGTCCTCACTTTTCTTTTCCAGGGTATAGATGCTGTGCAGCACAAAACGTACGACCATTCGGTCTGAAAATTAGACTATTACTTAGGTGATTGCAAATCACTTAAGTCGATTTGACAACTAATGGTCGTTAATTTCTCACTAAAAGCCATTTTCCAGCCCCTTCGTTTGGAGGGAAGTTCTATATTACTTTAGTATAGTCTTTCAAATGCCATTGGAATTTAACCTTTCTATTTTTGGGGGCCTGCAAATTGGACATAGTACCTTTAATACAGATGCATTGAATGCTACTGTACATGATTGACATTAAAGCAATAGAGCAAAAACGTTATCAATTACCACCACAATCATACTACATCAAGAAATTTGGCCTAAGACAGCAAGTTGGAAGGAGATCATCTTAATTATGCTGTAATGAGACAATGACGGAACACAATTATTCAAGCACTTTCATCTGACACACATTCCGAATTGATCTGTGTGTCCCTATAACAATTATGACATTGTTAAGTTGTTAAATAGAAAATAGAAGAAGCCAGAGCTTGAAGTATGGTGACCTATTGCCCACCAGAACCAGGTTGTTCCTGTATTAGGGAATGAGATATTTGAGTAGTTAACCGGTTAAGTTCATCCTGCCTTTAACAGGATGGCCTATGATCCAACTGATTTAGTGTGGACAATGTCCCTATTCTTACTCAAGAAATGCAATGAAGATACAACATCATCAGCAATTCTCCTATTGCAAGATGGGAGGATATACCTCTACTATCTGGAGTAATATTATTGAAGCAGCTGCATAAGTTCTTTTTGCTATGAAATGGGGTACTGCTTGGAGGAAAGTCATCTTGCCTATCACAGCACTGACTTGCTCCGTGTGGACAAATCCTCTCTTCTTTCACATGAAAAAGAAATTACATTGCTTGCTTCTACTGCATGATGGTATACTACCACTCTACTAGCAGGGATCATACTTGTTGATGCAGATACACATGCTCTTTTTGCAATGAAATGGTTTATAGCTTGAAGTATTGTCATGCCACCCTACCTAACATAGCATCAACTGGCTCCGTGTGGACAATCTTTCTCTTCTTTCTCAACAGATGCACTGAAGAAATTACATCGCTAGCCCTCTATACCCCTCAGGGCATATCGTATTGAAGCAATTATAACACAAGTTCTTCCAGCGGAGATGGTGCACATTTCAATTCATCATCATAGCGCCATTGTCAGCTGCTCATAAGGGCGCAGGTGTCGGAACGCTCATCAGGGGCGAGTCAATAGGTTCAGGGACTTTGATTGGACTGGGAGTGTGAGAGTTAATCTTCTCCATCACCGAGCTGTACAGATCACGAACCGCTTGGCTGTGCTGTAAGACACAAGCAAAAAGAATACAGAATTTATATATTGTTACAATATTAGAGACAGGTGATCTCCGGCAGCTTGAATATATATTGAAAATATAAAATTTATTCTCCTGAACAGCTTACTGATATTTTGACCATTAAATAATAATTACAAAAAATAAATAATGCACAGTACAAATGCAAATTTATTTGCTGTCTCAAATAGCCTATGTTATGTAGTTCGTGATTTTTTTCCTTACGCATTCTTTATACATTGTATCTTTCTCCTTTAACTAATGTCTGCTGTGTATCATTTTTTTCAGTTGCAAATAGTAACAAATAAGCTAAAAAAAAGAACATTTCTTGAGTTTTCTCAAGGCATTGCAACATTTTTCTGTGGAATAACTTGTAATCAGTTTTCTTCAAATAATAACATCCTCAGTATATATTCTCTATCAAGATATAGCAGTATCACATTTGAAATACATGTACTGTACATTGCACATCTCTGAGTTTGCTTGTATTCCTTTATCTGTTATGGATTGGAATCCTCACTGTAAATAACCAAATATTATATAACATGCACTTTCAGGGCTTAAATTGATCCAAGCCCACCAAGGCCATGGCCTCAATGCCCTCTCATTGGCCTTGGAGATTTGTTGTGCCCTTTCCAATTCTTTCTATTTGTGTAGTAATATAGGAATGTGCCCTACAGAAAAGTGGCCTTGCCCTAAAAATATTGAACTTTAAGGCCTGCACATTGTATATGTCAGAAATGTTGATTGTGGCAATTTACTGTTTGTTCCATTAGTTGACAAAGCAGATAAAGAGTTCAGGCTAGTTCAGATATGACACAGTACAGTGGCGTACGCAGGATTTTTTCAAGGGGGGGGGGGGGGTTTTAAAATCGGGTCCAAAATTTCGCAACGACTCAGAAAAATTTGAAAATCGCGCCGGCCAAAAAGTCGCTCAGTGGGGGGGGGGGGGGGGGGGTAAGCGGACACTTTTTTTTTTTTTTTGGTCTCGAAATTTGAAAATTTGACATTTTGTTCCTTTGGGGGGGGGGGTAAGGTCACCTTTCTTAGGTCAGTCATGGGGGTATTTCTTTTTTTTCTTTTTTTTTTTAATAATTTAAAAAAAAAAAAAAAAAAAAATCCAAAGGGGGGGGGGGGGGGGGGGGGGGGGGGTTTTAGGGATTTTTAGGGGGGTTTACACACATAAAAATCCCAAAGGGGGGGGGGGGGCTTAGCTGCCAAACACCCCCCCTGCGTACGCGCCTGACACAGTATTAAAATCACTGTAAAAACAACCTGCCATGAATTTTATTACGTGAGAATGAATGAAACTACACTCACCAAATGTTCTACACATATTCACTGAGCTCTGTGTTATAAGATACAGAATTTTATGTGAAAATGTAACGCTTTATCTACAATAACAGCGCCCCAGGTTTGCTGCATCATATCTGACCAAGGCCTTAAAGGGAGTGTATCATGACGAGACTATGTGTCTTTCCCGTAGCCCTACCCGGGGCCAATCGGGTATACTACGACTACGGACGACGCGACCGCAGCATTCACATGCATGCAAAATACGCTACACCGAAATGTGAGGAGCACTTCGGTCTGTTTCGCGAACGCTAGCGCGCGCTGACCCAGTTAATCAAGACCATTCGCTTATGTGCAGTTGTCCAAAAGAAGACGTAGATGGCGTTAACCAGTATGTCCCATGATACACTCCCTTTAATTTGACAAAGGATATCTCCAACTCTGTATCTTTTCTTATTCACCAATATCAAGACAAAATTCTGCTTTACCTCTGGCTTAGGTTCAAGGGCATTCTGGAGTTTGGAGAGCTTAGCTGCCGGCAGCTTGTGAAAGACAAACTCCATCAGCCTGAGGGAATGCCTTGCTACATTCTCTCTGGACACACCATGCAGTAGAAACCCATCAAAGATGATCTCACAGAAGGAGTCCGAAGAAAAGTCATCAATTAGAACAGACAACTGGGCAACAAATGGATGCAGGAAGATATCGTTGAACGATAAGTCACCCTCCATCTTGACAATGTTTGGGAGGGCCCTTGCGAGGGCATCTTTGTTTCGTTTACTGGTCACATGTAAGACATAGTACAGGATGAGCGTTGCGCCGATCTTGTTTCGTCGAATGTACTTGAGAAGGAATGCAGGAAGGGTCTTCAGGTCGGAATCGTCGCCGGTGTCGTTGAGACGGCGGTTGACAATTCTCATTTGATCATCAACGAGGAGGGACAAGAGAGCGGGCAAGAACTTCAGGATGAGATCATTTTCCTGGTATAAAAGGAAACAAAAGGAATAAGTACACGTGATTGTATAACCTCTGCATATGAATATATAAAAAAAATGGTGAATATACATCAATTTAGCCACAGTAAAAAGGTTTCTCAATCCACAATTTATTTCGAAATTTTAAAACAAAGTAATAAAAGTTTTAAACAAAAAAATCATACAAAACCAGTAAGTATACAGGGCTGCGAGCTGAGCACTCAAAAGAGTAATTTTAATTCTTTGTGAATTTGGAACGAATTTGCAGAACACATTGTAAATAATGTTGGAAATAGATCATAACAATTACTTATGGTTTTAAGAAGAACCCCCTTTGCTTTCAACAAATTATGCAATGGATCATGACATTCCATTCTGTTTCAAATCTTGGACATTGGAAATAAATGCAATGCCTTCACAACTCATCATACAGAGATTAGACTGATATAGATGAAGTGCAGATCACCTGCAAATACTACGTAAGAATGATTTTGTGACAAATCTGATAGAATGAAAAAATAAACACTAACCAATTTAGGCTCTCTAAACCGTTGGCTGTCCAGCATATCCCAGGCACCAAGTCCAAGGGAGAGCATACGAAGAAGGGATGTTAGATCTGGACTGTCCTGTACAAAATAACAACAAAGCAGTTCATGAAATTTACTGTTCTGTGCAAGCAATTTAGTTATTAACTTTAGAGATTAACAAGAAAGACCAAGACATGCAAGAATACTTCAAATGTGGGTAAGATCAGTATTAATTATTAAGTTTAAGTGATCACATAATATGAAACTGGACTAGATTTTTCTCAGATAAGGCGTTTTTTAAAGTATGTCAACAACCTGCCAAGACATGGACTACAATGTACATGGATTAAGGTCTATTTCTTTTAACAAATTGTAATGTGCATAACACTGCAAATATCAAAAGTGGCTTAGCAAAATGTACAAACTAAAACTAAATGAACTCAGCTCTCAATCAACATAAGAAAAAGGGGATCATGGGGGACCGACAGGCACCAAATAGGCATTGTTTGCTATATATACAGGGTGCAAGTACTGTAGCTATAAGTAGTGCAGTGGGGCTTTAAAGGGATGAAGGAGTCATTTGATGAGAGCCAGAAGGGTGGTAAGTTCTAAGCTTTTTTCACACACTTAACTCCCTTCTGGCTGTTAACAGAATAAGTAATATCATACGTACCCTTGGAAGCTTGTCTTGGTTGATAAGGCTGGTCATGTGTCGGATGACACTGGTTGCTAGGGTGTGTACAGCAAATGGGTCACACAGGATCATGGATAAATCACTGTCAAAAACAAGTGTGTAGAATGGAGAAAACTTAAGAAATTACTGATAAAATTTATATCGCAGGTTGACAGATTCAAAACGTTAAAGAATGGGCTCGTAAATGGTGGGAATTTAAAAGTTTTGTGTGGGAAAAGAAGAATTAATTGTATGAGAATAAATCTTTGAATTAATAACCCTACCAATTTTTTTTCAACCCTTACTATGTAATAGTACACTTGCAAAAATTCAAAAATGTGTTCATTACCTTTTCAGGAGCCGGACATTATTGAATAAATTACAGAACGAATAAGGTTAGTGACAGTAGGATCAATCTGATTGGTCTATTTGGAACTCTATATTTTACAGTGACTGCCAATATGACCAATTGTCAACAACCAGATGATAGAGTATACATGTATACAAAAGAAGAAAAATAAGGAATAAACAATTTATGAAGGAGTTTACAGAGGAACATTCAAAACAAGAATTCAATCTATTCAATTACATTTCTGGTGTTTTCTTCACTGTGAGAACCAAACATCACAAAACATAATGGTCTGTTTGTTCTAAGCCACCCATTTTATGCCTGCCTTAACATTTCTCTGGGGATCAGGGTAGCATTTCACGAAAATGTCATACCTGTACATGTACACTGTAATTACAAGTTCACCAACATACCATTGAAATCCATGTATTAAACTTAACAAATGTTATGAAAGTTTCATGAAACGATGCCACGGTGACTGAAACTTACCCTAGAACTTGTTCTTGTCCCCTTCGCACACCATCCAAAAACCCTTGCAGCTCCTTTGCCTTCTTATCGTCCACCTGCTTGTCCCTTACACACGCATCAAGTGTCCAGGTAAACTTATGGCACGGATCCTCTGTACAAATCTCATGGATCTCCAGATCATGCAGGGACATCAGAAGTTCTGCTCTCAGCGTGCAGTAATGCATGTTCCTTGTGCTGAGGAAGAGTGTTCGTAAAAACTGTAGCACCATGTCAAAGAGCTTTACGCTCTTCCCTACCATTCCTGTGAGTTTCTGGACCACGTGGCCCTGCCGTCTCATCTTTGGTGACACAAGAAAGAACATCTGGGAGTTGACTGCCTCACTACCAAACAGCACAGACTCTTTATTCTTGATGTAGTCTGTTAGGAGTGGTGAGACCTCGTCACCAAAGAGCGATGGATTCCGCTGCCATATCTGCTGTTTGACCTCTATGGAGGCCACATCGTACAGACTCCTATCCTCCACAAGAACAGTCAGGTACTTCTCAGGAATCTTTGGAAGACATTTCATGACGGACATCACCACTGGTTGGATACTCTTGACCCTGATCAGAGGAAAGCACTTTGAGAGGAGATCCTCAATAGTCTTGAAGCGCCCTTTGGTGTCACTTTTGGCAAGCTCCTGCGCCCTGGACATGAGCTTCTCCCGGAGCTCTTCCATGATGGAATGGTGAAACGCAAATCGTTGGATCATGTGGAGATCCAGGAGAGGGAGGGCTGGTTGGAGGGTTGGGAGAAGGATGCCATTTTCTGACTGGAAGTCCTCGATGGCCTGGAGGGGATCTGTGCAATTGGTCAGGGCCTCACGGAGGTGAACGCTCCCAGCAATACCTACTTCCTCAAATCCAGCCATGGTGTCAGCTGTGCTCAATAAATCTGCCATGAACAAAATTTAAAGAATAGTTATCAGCACCTGCCTGTGTACACATGCATTCACAGAATGAATGCTCCTTCACACAAAATTCCAAAGATTAGTTTTTTTAATGTCTGTTTAAAACATCTTGAACCATTGATTACTAAATTATTTTCATTCCCATAGGCTATAATACAGGAGCCACCCAGTCTCTATAGACAACATGTTAATAATTTGACAAGTTATCAACAATATAAAAAAGGCGAGTTATATACAAGGTTCCAAATTCTTATCAAACATTTAGACATGGTCATGGAACTTAGTTGAACTATTGATAAATGTACCTTGTGGGTAAGAATTTAAGAGAACAACGATACATGAGGAAAAGACCTTTCAACTCAAGACCTGAATTCAAAATAACAGCTAGGACTATCCTCATAACTAGAGTCCAGAGAAGAAATTCATATTCATTTGTCTCCATCTATTAATAAAGGCATTAATAAAGGCATTAATATGCCATTATCTGGCTTTATAAGCCAGTTCACGGTTGCAGTCTGAGCATGAGCAGATAAAGGTCATTGCAGAACAAATTTTGAAATACACTGAGACGTTATACTGGATGCGTGCTCATGAAAATTATGTGATCATTATTCATTCATGCATATTCAATGAACTCCATGATACACAGGTGGAAGTATTCTTTGAAAAGGGGAAACAAAGGTTATCTATATATCGCTGTAGGAGTGATTATTTCAAAATGTACAAAGTGGGACGTCTTCATGTTTTGAAGATCTGTGGATATTCGGGGTCATTGCAGTGATGTGCTAACCGTGAACTGGTCTATTATCACATCTGTCTCTACGATCGAGGGATTGTCTACGACACATGAATCATGTCATGATAATATATTGTGGATGATGGATCAATGATACAATCATTGAATTTTTAGCCTTTTTTAAAGCTTTTTAATTAGCTTCTGAAGTTCTGGCTTCACATGCATTGACACAAACCTCACATTCTTTTAACCCATGGCATTAAAATAAAATAAATAGACCTTCTAAATAAAATGGTTAAAATATTCCCAGAAAGGCCAGATCTTACCCAGACCAAAAGCTTCAGTCTCTATAATCGTCGGTTGTTCCACTGAGACTACGTCTGGCTCCACTAGACCTCTGGTTAAAGAGACTGAACGATCGCCTATACCATCGTATGTTGAAGATATCACGGCTAGATTTTAGCCGCTAGGCCCCTCCCACAAACATGACAAACTTGCCACGGCCGTATTGTTATGCCCCCAAAATCCCCAAAATGTCATTTTACCTCGTCCATATCCAATTTTAAATTAGGCTATAATACATCGGTTCCACTTACAATATCCTTGTTTAGTTGCTGAAAAGGCTTTTGACGAGTACCAGCATAGACGTAGACGTAGACGTAGACTAACTTGATTGAAATAATCCGTTTAATGGTCCCTTTTAAGGAAATTATGGGTCAAAATCGACATCCATGTTGAAAATCTTGCAAGCCGTGTTAAACTCTCGCTGCCGTCAACGCCGAAGGCAAAATGATTATGAAGGAAAAACTGTGATAACGCCATTACGAACGTGTAGATGGCGCACAGTTTTTCCTTCATAATCATTTTGCCTTCGGCGTAGACTAGAAGGGATGAGATTGACGGCAGCGAGAGTTTAACACGGCTTGCAAGATTTTCAACATGGATGTCGATTTTGACCCATAATTTCCTTAAAAGGGACCATTAAACGGATTATTTCAATCAAGTTAGTAAGTGGAACCGATGTATTATAGCCTAGGCCTAATTTAAAATTGGATATGGACGAGGTAAACTGACATTTTGGGGGATTTTGGGGGCATAACAATACGGCCGTGGCAAGTTTGTCATGTTTGTGGGAGGGGCCTAGCTGCTAAATCTAGCCGTGATATCATCAACATACGATGGTATAGGCGATCGTTCAGTCTCTATAACCGGAGGTCTAGTGGAGCCAGACGTAGTCTCAGTGGAACAACCAACGATTATAGAGACTGAAGCTTTCGGTCTAGATCTTAGTTCTTAGTCTTACCTAGACCGAATTTTCCGTCTCTTTCGTTCGTTAGCCTCTTATTGGGGTAGGGTCGGCTCTCTCTTTAGAGACGGAAGCCGTTTATACACATGTCCTTGCTAACGCCACGGCCAGTCCTGGTCGTAGCGTTTTGCCCCCAAAATCCCCCAAAATGTCATTTTACCTCGAGCATGTTATATTCTCTCTTGTATCCTTCCGCCGCTCAGGTCGGAGATCGTCGGCACTGTGAGTCTGCCGAAGTTACATAAATGGCTTTCTATAGGTCGTTAAGTAGATTTTGACGGGTTGTGTGAAGGTTGCGAATAAAATAAGATTTTCAAAATGGATTTCGATTTTGACCCATAATTTCCTAAAAAGGGACTATTAAACTGATTATTTCAGTCAAGTTGGTAAGTGGAACTGATTTATTATAGCCTAGGCCTAATTTACAATATAACATGCTCGAGGTAAAATGACATTTTGGGGGATTTTGGGGGCAAAACGCTACGACCAGGACTGGCCGTGGCGTTAGCAAGGACATGTGTATAAACGGCTTCCGTCTCTAAAGAGAGAGCCGGCCGACCCTACCCCAATAAGAGGCTAACGAACGAAAGAGACGGAAAATTCGGTCTAAGTCTTACCAATACCAAGTTACCATCATCGACATCGGATTCAGACCAGAACCCCCCCCCCACCCCCATAAATACCCCTTCTAGAAAATATTACAACTCAACTACGTCGACTGATTAAACTACAGAACCAGACTAGGCGTAAATATTCAAATTTTACAGAACACCAACAAAGGCAACAGCAACACTGTCACTGCATGCAACACGCAAGAACATCACCCCCTTCTATTTGCTCGACACGTATTTCAATGGCTGGGACCACAATGAAAAATGCTATTCACATTACACGCAACATCTGCTACAAAGAAGGAATGAAATTCATCCTTTAAATACTTCAAAACGTCTTAGAACTGGATCATTGATTACGGGCATATATTCAGGAATATATTAAATCGAGTAAAAGCTAGTGAAAAGTAATAATAATGAAATTATATATAAACAAACCTGGCGGAGTTTATATAGCGTGTACTTTTCCCGAAGATGGCCTCCATAGGCCAATTTGTATACGCGCATGCGCTATGGACACAATATCCCGCCGTTTTTTTATACCACACACACCACAAATAACACTACTTGATAGGGCAGTGCACGTAGGCCTACATTGGCCTATATGATTTCAATTTTGAAAATTGGTAACCAATGTTAATTAGAAAAAAGGTAAGGCCATGATCCATAATAGTACTAGGGTCTTGGAGTTATAAGTTTAAAACAGGCGTTGTTTGATTCCGTGTTTGATTCTGTGCCTCCCAATTTATTACCCCCAAACTGACCCCTTAGGACAAGTGCCCCTTTTCTTTTCTAATAACTGTCCTTTTCCTCTCGTTTCTTCCCTGTTGGGCACCTCATTCCAGGTTCCCCTTTTCACCTCTGATATTTTGCCCTTTTTTTTAATACTTTGACTCGTGCCGCTTTCAGTTTTAAGTGCATTTTTACCTTCGTAATAAGAACCCCTTCCCTTTCTCTTAAATGCCGCTTTTCACCTCTGAGAAGTGCCCCTTTTATTTTGTCACGCGCCCCTTTTCCTTTCCTTTCCTTTAATATTGATGTCACCCCTGGTAAAGTGTAATTACAATCATGACGATATAGGGGTATAAACCAATGATTTTTTTTAATGTTTCCCTTTGTAGGTGCCCTTTTTTTCTCCAGAAAGTGTCCTTTTCCGTTGGTGCCCCCCTATTTTGAGAGACGCACCACCGCTCCCACATCATGCTACTTGGTGGTGATGCAGATTTTGTTCCGACCCCCAAATTACGCCACTGCTGCTTCAAAATGGATTCGAATCCAAGTAAATCCCTCATGTTGTGAAAATACAACTGAAATATCGCCACGGTGAAGTCTTTGGCAGCCAGACCGACGTCGATAAAGCACCGATCGAGAATTCGACTTACGAGAAAATTAAAGGCCATTGCAAGTAGCTTAGGTTGGTTTGAAGCCCGTTCGGTATAGTGTACATAATGGCTGGGATAGGCGCTTAACATCCCCCTTGTTTTTAAATTAGCTATTCTCTTAATTATGAATTACGGAATTCGTGTGAGGGCGATATTTGCGTTAATTGAACACATGCAAAAATGAAATAAGGTGAGTGAAAAACTATTGAATTGACCGGAAAAGTAAAACAGAACAAGGCGCAGCAGAAAAAGAGAAAAGGATTTTGTCTCAACAGCTTCCTATTTGGTAAATATAAACGAGGACCAAAAATGAAGTCTCAAGTAGTAGCATGGCTAAGATTAATATTGTGCACTAAACAGGATAAGAAATACACACATACGAACATAACTGAACATGGAAGAAACCATCATCGACAGGGTTGCCACAAAAAGATTGAGATACTTTGGACATATCAACAGAATGAATTCCAAAAGATACCCCACATCCTTCTCAACGGAAATGTATACAATCACGGCAAACGCCCAAGGGGAAGACCAGCTAAGAGATGGATTACCTCGGGCGTTCTATAGCCAATAAGCCTTTTGCTCGCCAGCCACTGAATTCTTAAACAAAAGTTAAGCTTTTAAAAATCCAATTTATCCAAATCTATATATCAAAATAAGTAAATCTAATTTCAAAAGGAATAAAATCCTAAGAGAAGAGGCGTCAATATTCACTTCTGAATGATAAACGCCTATAAACTAAAACAACAACAACAACAGGACTGCATCAAGGCGGACTGCAACAATAGACAACTTGACTCCCTGACTAAAGCCGTAGGCGTGGCAAGCCATTGTGAGACAGAAACCATCATACATCCCAGTGATGGTGTGGACGGCTTAAGTCAATTAAGTAAAATAAAATTATTTTGGGAAATATTACTATAAATACTGCCTATAGATGAAAAATACAATCTTGAATCTTTTTCGTCCAAAGCCAGGACAAAACAATTCCAAAATTTCAGCAAACATTACAGAAATGTCAAGATAGAATTATGGCATTTTGATATTGACCAACTGCAAATACGATTTAAAAAAAAAAATGAGTAAATTATTATATTTGTACTCTGGCTGCTACGAAACCGTATGTCACATCAAATCCGTTGGCGTGTCATGATTATGTCAAGTACCCTCTGTAGTCAAGGCACTGTAGTATTATTGTATTTGGAAAGTATTATTGAGAACCCTCCAGTGAATAAAATGCAAATAAAATATGAAATGGTATTATCCAAAAGATCTGTTGTCCCTTTACCCCCTCGGTCCGGAATGGTCTTTGAGATAATGCAGACGGCGGAATGCAGCGAGCTTCAGAAATAGCGCGTCGCTACAATAATTATGTGTGCTTATATGCTTGCCAGTGAATAACTACAGGCCTTGCATGAAAGATTCTGAATAGATTGTGCGTTTCTTTGTGTATAGAGGAAAATTGTATTTTCATTTTTTCCTTCCGTCAAAACCACATTGCTATCAGTAAAGCTATAATAACCAATACATTCAACACCTGGAACCAGTATACACATCCAATGCGAAGATCTAGAAACGTTAATGGAAGATCATTATTTATAAACGCGATCTTCATTTCGTCATTTTCTCTTCGGTTGAGACATTGAAATTAAGTTTAGGGAATATGCGATGGCGAACTTTCTTGTGAGAGCTGTTTTTGTTATCTGTATTGTAGTATGCGTAACGTGCTCTGTACAAGCCCAGCAATGCACCCACAAACCGACAATAATAACACCGGTAAGTACAATCAACATAATTTCTTTAAAAAAATAAAATCGAAACCATTAATGAAATATAGTTGTAACAAATTGGGAAAAATTAAAGGAAAATTAATAGTCTACGAACGATCAATTTTAAACCCTCACGCTTGGGTGGGCGCATTCATTTAACCGTTAAAAGGTGTAATTGAGATAATTGCAAAAATAAATAAGTAGCCATTCAAATGTTACTAACAAAGTCATGTTCATCTGTAGAATATTCTTGTTCAACAATGCGAACAAAGAACGAGACATATTGAGGAAGATTGAGCTCTGGATATCAATTGTAGCCTTAGAACTGCTTGGTTTTGAAAAGCACGGCCAAGATTCTTCCCCTTTCCATCAATCGTAGAGTAGCCATCGGATACTTCCTCCAATGCTCATCAACTTTTAAATGGCCAGATGCCCTATTTTTCGATATTTTCTATCATTTTAAAGACTCATTAAATTTTAAAGTGCAATGCTAACCCACGCATGAATAATATGATTCCAGCTGCATATCATTTTAAAGAATATTAATTGGCCTATGTTTATTTTTATATTATATTATGAAAAGTAGGTTTAATTTTTTTTTCTTCTGAATTTTGGATCGATTTATAAATATGAAATATGAGCAAAGTATTAAAGGGCGATTTTGATGCAATGCTACTAACAAAGTCATGTTAAAAAAAGATAGTTATATTGATTGGTATATATTCGTAAAGCGCTTAGAGACATTTGTATTAAGCGCTATATAAAAATTAAATATTATTATTATTATTATTATAGTTATAATATTAAAAAAAAAAAAAAAATTCCAATTGTATTTGATAAAATCAAAAAACAAGAAATTAAAATGTTGGATGACGAATGGACTGTTACAGTCGATCCGACATAAGAATAATTTATACAAAATGTATTTACGTAAGTCATCAGACCAAAATGCTTATGTGAATACAAATGATCGTAACCTACTCACATGATTAATTCGTAAAGCAAAATCTCAGTATTTTAATGACAAATTTGTACTTAATAAATCTAATGTAAATTGTACGTGGCAAACGATCAATTCACTACAAAAAAGTAAGCCAGCTGAGAATCATGTATTTAATTATAACGGGGACATCGCTACAGAACCGGACGTTATTTCAAACTCCTTTAATGACTTCTTTACAAGAATTGGTCCATCTTTAGCAAATAAAATCCCAGGTACCCAAAGAATTATTTACAGTATATAAATGATCCATCTGTGGACTCTTTGTATTTATATCCTACTAGGGAAAACGAAATTTGTAACATTGTGAGTACTTTTGGAAACAATAAAGCTGTAGGTTTGGACGAATACAGTCCAAGAGTCATCAAACAGGTCATTATGTACATTGTCGGGTTTTCGCCTTCTTCCTTATCTGAATTATGTACTGTATACTCTATGTTGAAATCATCGTTACATATATAATTTATATATACATTGTGCTTCATACTGTACTGTTGAGAAGGAAATAACTGTTAATAAATATGAAATACAAACAATAAAATACAATTCAATGTTTAGACCCACGTTACGCCACTGAATACTAACATTTCAAATCGTAAGGAAAATGTGATTTATCTATTAATTTTCTGTCCTTTGTCTATATCTCTCCCCGTTTATCCATAAACTCATATTCGCTGCATTTGACATTGTAAGTTCTAAAATTATCTTTTCATCTTGCTTACTCATTACTCATCATTATTTACAGTGATCTAGATTCAATTCTGCATTATATACTTCCCACATGTTTGGTCAGTTTTGATCAAACTCGGAATAACTCAACACTCCCTTTAAGAAATCTATGAACGTGCCAAAAGGTGCTCAAGAGGTATTGTCAAATTGTTGGTCTATTTGCAAAGCCGATAGCAGTCATATTTGACCAATAACCCATTGAAACGTATTACTAGCATACTATATGCACGGTTCCACAAAACCGTCAAAAGTACAAGTTTGTGAACATATCATTGAAATATGTGTTAATCTTCATATCATACATGCGGTGTTCAATGGGATGTTTACGAGCTTGTATTTACGACGGTTTCGAGAGACGCTGCCCCGGTGACTTGCTAGATTGGTATGTGATAATTATTGACCGTTCGGATAATCCTTATTGGCGTTTCGTTTATTATTTTCCTTAATTTTGCATGAGTAAGTATAAAATAATTCAATTATGATTTCAAACATAAAGTTGATAACAAACTAAACAAAATACTTCTGCTACAACTACTACTGCTACTACTACTACTACTGCTACTACTGCTACTACTACTACTATTACTCAATTTGCTGCTGCTGGTA